CCGACCTTGTGGTTCACAGTCCAGTGCTTATCCTACAGAGCCAGCACATACCCATACATACATACATATACACATGTGTGTGTGTGTATGCATTTTGTTAAGGGCTGTCAAGTTGGTTTCGATATGTATATGTTGTTGTTGTTTAGTGCCTTGTTGTTTAGTTCCTTTTCTGAATCCAGCTTGAACCTCTGGAAGTTCTCTGTCAATGTACTATTGCAGTCATTTTTTTATTATCTTTAGCAAAATTTTACTTGTATGCAATATTAATCATATTGTCTAATGCTTTCCATGTCTCTTTGGAATGGGCACAAATATGGATCTCTTCCAATCAGTTGGCCAGGTCATTGTCTTCCAAATTTCTTGGCATAGATGAGTGAGTGCCTCCAGTACTACATTAGTTTGTTGAAAGATTTCAATTTATGCTCCATCAGTTCCTGGAGCCTTGATCTTTGCAGATGCCTTCAATATATCTTGGACTCCTACCTTCAGTATCATTGGCTTTTCATCATATGCTACCTCTTAAAATGTTTGAACATTGACCATTTCTTTTGGGTACAGTGACTTCCATCTTCTTTTGATGCTTTCTGTACCAATGAATATTTTGTCCAAAGAACCTTTCAATATTGCAAATCAGGGCTTAAATTTTTTCTTCAGTTCTTTCAGTTTGAGAACTGCTGAATATGTTCTTCCCTTTTAGTTTTCTAACTCCAGGTCTTTACACATTTCATTATATTTGACTTTGTCTTTTCAAGATGCCCTTTGAAATTTTCTATTCAGCTCTTTTATCTCCTCATTTCTTTCATTTGTTTTAGAATCTCCACACTGGAGAGCAAGTTTGAGAGTCTCTTCTGACATTGATTTTGGTCTTTTCTTTCTTTCATGTCTTTTTAATGAACTTTTTCTTTCTTCCTGTATGATGTTCTTGATGTTATGCTACAACTCTTCTGGTTTTCAGCATCTAGTGTCTAATTAATCAAATATGCTCCTGACACGATCTTTAAATTCAGATGGGATATATTGAAGGTAATATTATGGCCTTTATGGACTTGTTTTAATTTTCTTCAGCTTGTCTGAACTCACGTATGAGCAATTGATGGACTGTTCCTCAGCCTGGCCCTGGCCTTGTTTTGGCTGATAATATGGAGCTTTTCCACTGTCTCTTTCCACAAATATAGACAATTTGATATCTGTGTATTCCATCTGGTGAGGTCCATGTCTTTCATGTTGTTTAAAAAAGGTATTTGTGAAGAACAAGGTCTTGAGCCTTGGTGTTGTGCTGTCAGGGAAGATAGATGGATTTGTAAACCTTAGAGCGAGATTCTGCCTAGCCAAGGTCGCTGCAGTACAGAGTCCCCTAGGGTGAAGCCACTGCCACCATGTCTGACCAGGAGGCAAAACCTTCAACTGAGGACTTAGGGGATAAGAAGGAAGGAGAATACACTAAACTCAAAGTCATTGGATAGGATAGCAGTGGGATACACTTTAAGGTGAAAATGACAACACATCTCAAGAAACTTCAAGAATCATACTGTCAAAGACAGGGAGTTCCAATGAATTCACTCAGGATTCTCTTTGTAGGACAGAGAATTGCTGATAATCACACTCCAAAAGAACTGGAACTGGAGGAAGAGGATGTGATTGAAGTTTATCAGGAACAAACAGGGAATCCATTCAACAGTTTAGATATTCTTTTAATTTTTTTTTCCTTAATCCTTTTTTATTTTTAAAAATTGTTCTTTTGTAATGTAATGTTCAAAATGAAACTGAAAACTAGCACCTCTCTTTAAAGCATTTGGTATTTTGAATTCTAGTGCTCAGTATTCACTATTGTTTGTTTTCATGGTGCCAATTTTTGGTGATCCTCAGCCCCCTTCATGGAGCCCTCTTCTTCTTAAAATGACCTATGTACACAGAGAGGTTACCTTTTCAGGACTCTGCATTTTCAGGCTTGTGGGTAAATAAGATCCACCAATGCAAGTGTTCATAATGACTCTCCAATTGGCCCTGAAGTTCTAGCCTGTGATTGCTTCACTCCTGGACTATGACTTTCAGTGGGAGATGGAAGTTTTCAGAGAACTGAACTGTGAGAAATGACCTTTCCTTGCCCAAAGCTACATTTGAAGTCTGAGCGTCTGGACCAAAAGAAGAGAAATCAGGATTGAGTTATGAT